ATATAGCATTACAGAGAAGTGAGGCCGCTGTAAAAGCCTCCGCGCAGGTGGCAAGCTTGGCCTTGGCTCCAAGTGCACAGCCCTGCTCTCACAAGAGGAAGTGAGACTGAGTGCAGTAATATGAAAGTGTTTTGTATTTGAAACAGAAAAGATGAGGCTGCTGTTTGCTCTGTTCAGGAAGGCAGGCATATGGTAAGTATGAAGAAGGGGGGGTGTGTGTCAGAACCTAGGCATGCTGACACCTTTTCCTGGACAGTTCTATATCGCATGGGGATCTCCTGACCTTTTCCCACTAGCTATCAGGTCTCCAACTGTCTTTTGACATTATCAAATGTCCCCTAGGTGTTGGGACATAATTGTACCCAGCTCACTAGAACACAGAGTAGAGGAGAATGGAGAAGCATGGATGGTGCTTTGCAGAGAAGAAAAATGACTGGACCGCATGACCACAGGAAGAGTGATTGGGTCTGATTTCGTTTCATTTTTGGTATGTGTGTGTACACAAGTGTGCAGGTGTGGGGGGGGAGGGGTGCCTGGAGTCAAAGGGCAACCTCAAGTGTCCTCCTCAGGAACACCACACTCCTCTTTTGCAACAGGGACTCTCATTGACCGAGAGCTTACCAGTTAGGCTAGACTGGCTGGCCAGCAGTCCTCAGGGACTGGTCTATCCCCAACTTTCCAGCACTGGAATTTCAAACATGTACAACCAAGGCCAGCATTTGTACCTGGGTTCTTAGGAGGCTTCAGAGGCAAGTATGGTCCTGACTATGCAGTCTTCCCAGCCCCCACTGAGACTGATTGAGGTTGTAGGGGAATCATCCCTTCCCACTAAGGCCAGGCCCCCAGATTGAAGATACTGAAAAAGTAGATGTTTGGGCTCTCGAGGAATGGAGATTTTGACACATATAAATGTGATGAAAAGGCAAAGGAACAGAAATTTGTGGCAGTGGAAAAATGCTTATGGAAATTGGCAAGGCATGCATTGAAATTATGAACTACAGAATCCAAAAAAGTTGGAGGGCAGGGGTAAAAAAAATCTCTTTTCAAAATAGGATGCTAAGATAACTTTGAAGGCTTGAAATGAAGCTGTGCTGCAGACATCTTTGAGACACTAAAGCATAAACAGACAAAAACATTTTTTCCGAAGACGGGTTATAACATTATTGTTTTTTTTCTTTTGCACTAACTGAAGATGAGACATAAAAAACAATGTGTTCTATTTATTTTGTAGGCTAATTCAGACTTCTTGTTTTCCGTAGTATGTAGTTTCTCATTAAGTTTGAAAACCATTGCAGTGAATTTTATCCTTACACTTCAGATATCCACTTCTCTTCTTGACTGTAGTTGATATGTGCACAGTGGGGTACTTCAGTTTTACTAAAATATAGGTCAACTGAAATGTTCTATAAGACTCGTGGAAGGTGGTGTCTAGTAGAAGTAAGTAGTAAATCTTTTTATCTTGAGACAAGGCATCATATAGTCCAGGCTGCCTTGAAACTGGTCTCATAGTTAAAGATGAACTCACCATCCTTCCTACCTCCACCTCCCAACTGGTGGGATTATAGGCATGTATCACCATACTCAAATTATAGGGTGCTGAGGATCAAATCTCATGATTCACGTTGGATAAATACTCTATTGAGCTACATCCCCAGTCCTAAATTGTTATCATCTAGGAAAAGCAATGATAGGAAAGAGAAATTAACAACAAGAAATCTATTTTGAGAGATGGGAAGAACTAATGACCCAGTATTTTCTATATGGATATACTATGTGGAGGGTAAGGGTAAAATAAAACAAAATGAGAAAGCAACCAAACATTCCTAATTGAATTGAAACTGCCAGGCAAAGAGGAGAACAAACCATAAAGAAGGGAAAATAAAAAGGAAATTCAGCTACATCATTTTGGTCACCCAAAGCTTGTAAAGTTTAAATCTGCTGAAGAGAGCAGAATAGGCAAGGAGAAAGAAAACAGAGCCAAGGGGGAGAAGTCCTCTTGATGAACTCTCTGATCACTATGTCAGGTTCCTGTGTTTTGGAAAAGAATTATACCTGGATATTTAACAACTTTATACTGTATGATTCAGGATTTTTTAGTATCGACTATTTTGAATGACAAGAAAATATGAAAAGATAGTCTATTTATTTCTAAGAGGCAAGAATAAATAAATGACTGCTTTTCCCATCCTTAATGTTTTTATTCATTCCAATATTTTTACAATGACTATACTAGGTAGAAAGGAATTATTCACTTCCTATGGCCTGGCACCAAGGGAGAGTAAAGAAAGAGGTGGTTAAAATAAACAGGAGCATATTTAGTTAGGAAAAAGGAGATCTAGGCTAGAAAGTCTCCCTTCCCTCTGCTGATCACTTTGTAAAAAACGAGAACATTACTTTTAGCAAAAGCATTACACATCCCATCTGCCTTCAAGGTCAGGGAGGGAAGAGAACTATTACTCATTACAAATACTTTTTTTTTCCTTTAAGAATCAGGGAACCAGGAGGAGGATTCAAAAACCAATGTTCCTTTGAACACACTGAAAGCAAAACCACACTACTTTGGAAGACATGTACAAACAATATTCTAAGAATTTTAAGCAGTTTCCTTCGTAAAGACCGATGTATTTTGGGTTTTCTATGATAAGTATATCTAGATGGTAGATGTATGATAAGGATATAAAATAATTAAGAGGCCAAAGGTACACAATGCCATTTGAGGAAGAAATGTCATTTTCATGACGTTATGAATACTGTACACACACAGGGTCAAACCACAGGATGCTTTGGTGTTGCTATCACTGGAGGATCACAAGATGGCATTTTTTGAGTTGATAGAGGCTCTGCTACAAATGTGATATTAGGTCCTACAAAATAATAACATTTCTCTTAAATAGAGGCCAGTGAAATTTTAAAAATATTTCAACTCTTTATCTAAAGAAGGCACATGCACACTTTATTCACTTGGCATATTATTATTGCCCTTGGATTCTGATGGTAGATTTCTCCATGTGCTTAATAAGAATAATACTATCAAATGGTTTTTATCGTGATAAAACAACTATTTGTTGTGATGCCTCACTGTTGTACAGTCCTCAAGTCTACATAGATATTTACTTTGATTTTCATAATTGTCTGGGTTGAAAGAAATCCCAAGCAATGCCAGAAGAAACTGATACCTTTCTGATTGCTAATGCAATTCCTGTCGCTGCATCATTTTGCTAAGAGGCTGCTTACCACAATCAAGTTGTCCTGGAAACATCTGGCTTACCACAGTGTGGAGAGGTACAGCTAACAGTAAGTCTCTGTGCATCAAAAATGCGAATATTGCTTTTCTATGTGTTCTTTATTGAGGATAAGTGTACAGCATGGAAATGACTCCATTTTTAAAGCTGTCCCTTGGTTTGGCTATTCCCAAAAGATAACTATTCCTCAAGGCTAGAAACTGGTGATTTCTTCTGTTTGAGGAAATGTTTCTTAACTTATTAGTTCTTGAACTGTAATACATAGTGCTGCTATTTATTATGTTAATTTCATCTTATTACTAGATATGCCATGATTCTAAAGATTCTTATATGTCAGTTCTGAAAGGAAACCATTTTGAATACTCACTGAGCTATAATTCACATATTTTTAAAAATCCTAAAATCGAATAGATATTTTAATGTAATTATGGTCTGGCAGCTAACACTGTTCACAAACCCTTCCTTAGTTTAAAGCTGACCCTCCACCTTTCTATCTGGTCTGGCCCAGACAACCAGTCATCAGCTTCCCATGCCCACATATATCCCTATTTAAACATTTCCTGTTGTCTTTGTGAATAGCATCTGAGGATAGGATGGTCAAAGTACATCCTTGCAATGTGTGTCACTACTGCAGTCCTTTTATTGCTGAACACTTTTTCTTGTATGGATTTGCATTTGTTTATCCATTCATCAGTTAGTGGACATTTGTGCTGTTTCCACATTTTCCCTATAATGAATAAGGCTGCCATGAGCTTTCATACACAGACTTTTGTATTCACATATATTTTCAGTTCTTTTGGCTGTATACCTAGGAGTAGAATTGCCAGATCATATGGTAACTCTATATTTATCCTTTTGAGGTGCTGCCAGATTCTTTTCCACAGCAGCTGGGCCATTTTATGTTCCTATAACGTTTTTAAAAGAAATGGAAATGATGAAACCACATACAACTAATAAAATTCACTTAATGACACACTATATGTAACTTTGTAGTAACTGAAAACCTTTACAAACACATTTTCATTGCTTTTATCATAATTTATTCTACTCTATAATACTATGCAATAAATGAAATTAGTGCTAGGTTTAGTAAATTCTGTATTATGCCTACTTTATATATATTAATTTTTTGCTAGCCATATATACAAGTATTTTTAATGTTAACGATATAAAATGAATGGCATGCAGGGTACTTCATTATTTTCATTTCTTGTTGTTTACTATTGAAGGTATTATAGTATTATAATAATATAATGTATTGTATCCATTTAATATTTGGGATAAACTTGAGTAACCAATGAGATAATGAGTTATATTTATAAGCCAGTGATTTTTATTAACTAAATGATACCCTGCCATTTCCAGTCAACTAAGTCTTTGAGACATATGGGTCTGTGATTTAAACTTCTTTCCTTTGGTTTTCCTATGGTAATTTTCATATATATATATGTATATATATACATATATATATATATATTCCATATATATCTCATTGCCATAGTCCAGAACAGTCTTCATTCTATCAAGTGCATAGTCTACTAGTCAAACATTCAGGGGGTCCAATTTGCTCGGGCTCAGCTAGCAACACAGATGCACTTTGACTTCATCTCTCAGTGAATCTATATATTGCAGGAAACATGAATGAACCAAATGAACTTGAAAACTAAGTTACATAGACAAGTGAATTCCTAGTTGCAGAGACCCGGGGTGAAGTCAAGATTATGTCTTCCAGGACAATAAGAAGGACTGAACATGCTGTAATGCACATCATGTTTATTTTGCAACGAAAGGGGGAAGCCAAGAGTTCGCGGGTCATGCTTGTAGATCGTTTCTCCAAAATAGAACGGGCACATGTGGTTTCATTTCACTTTATTTCATGAAAAATATTTCAATTGGATTGAATAATATATCAAAAATATTTTATTTTTGAGTTTCTTTTCTTTTTTCTGGAAGAACATGTGATCTTTTCTGCAACAGAGAATGTAGTAAATATTATTTTCAAAGGAAAATTATTTTAAACTATATCTAATGTATTAAAAACTAAGAAAGGAAAATTTTTTCTCTAGTCTTGGAGACTTGTTTTTTGTTTCACTCTGTTGAAATAGTATCTTTTCAAGTCATAAAATGCAAACATTTTATATACAAGGGTCATAGTGGTTGTTGTTAACAGCCCCATATGAAGATTTTCTGCCCTGAGCTTCAAATTTCTCAAGCACTGCACTGAATATCATTCTTCTCATTTTGTACTTTGCCATCACTCACATCTTCTCAAGATTCTGATCCCACAAAGAGTGGGAAATATGGTATGATGCTTTCCCAGTCACATCTGAGTGGAAGTACCCATGTATCCCTTCTTCTCAGAGGATAGGAGTTGAAAAATGACACATCCTTAATATCCTTTCTGCCCCCTTCTTAGGATCCTCCTTTCAAGAATCTAGATAACTCATGCACCATGGTTACACAACCAAGGGATACAATGTCTTCAATAATAAATGCCTCATTAGCTCTTGCCAGTTACTCCAAAGGTTTATTTTTTTAAGGCCCCCCTTTTTTTTATTCTCATGGAAACAACATCTGAGAATTTTCATACACCATTTTCACCTTGAAAGTTGGTTTAGAATTTCTCTGAGACTATTATTCCATCTCTTCTTTTAAATAAACTTCAGTTGTAAACACTAACATTCAAAATGAATGAAAACTTCTAATTTAATGCTACATTGATTATTGGCATTGTAACAGTATTTTGCTCCACTTTAGACTTCTGTAGGGGCTTACATCTTCATAGAGGTGACTGGTAGGAGGAAGCACCATTTACAACTTCCTTTCCATGGAGAGTTCCACAGAAAGTTCCTCAAAGCCAGTTGGCATATATTTGTGGTACACAATGCCTTAAAACTGGGAACTGCTGATAACGTAAGTGTTCAAAACAAAAACAGATGTCTCAACATGGCCTTGCAGTGTCAGGATGAGCATGGGGATTCAACTCCTCTCCTTGTTTCCAATGGTAATAGTTATCTCTACGAAAGTATTCTACTACAGTATGTAGCCATTCCAAAGCAAACTTAGGGGAGGAAAAAAACATGGCACCACAAATAGACTACAGTTTCCAATTTAAATACCAATATTACTCATAATTCTTTTTAAACCTTTAATTAATTCCCTTGTTACAGTTAATGTAATTTTCAGAGTTGTCCATTGAAGTATTAAAATGTCAAGATTAACATTCACAATAAAGTACTTTCTTTATGTTACATTTTACTTTTAAAATAAAACCCAAGACCCATTCTGATCTGGATCTGACGTGAATTAGAAACTCTGTTAATCAGGGGTGCAACTTGCTAGAAATATTCAGTAACTGTTACCTGAACTAAAATACTTACTTCATTGAGTTGAATTTTATTTTTAAACCCAAAACAAATATTAGCATCTTTAAAAGAATTATTTCCTAGAATTCTAACTTGAAGATTGTAGAAAATGCCCAAGAAAGATTTTTTTGTGGTTTAATTTGTAAGAATGCACTTTTTTTACAAAATTATTAACTTACCAGCTATTAAAATACTGCCAGTTAGGCCTCTGTAGACATGCTCATAATTATCATACTGTAAATGTTAAATCTACCTTTTGTTAATTTATTTTTGAAAAAGAAAACCTGAAATTCAAGCAGCCAAATTATATCAGAGATTGCTTTGGGTTTGTCTTTGACTACATTCAAGTTTCTAAATTGGTATTATTCTAAAGTGTATTTAAAATCTCAAAATACGAGTATCTACAAATTGTTAAAGAGACAAAAGAACTGAAGAGGGGGCGGGGGGACAAAGTGAGAACTGCATTTGTAGGCAAGTGGCAAACAGTACATGGGGGCTTTATATCAGAAGGATTAGCTGATTATATATACATATATACATATACATACACACACACACACACACATATATATATATGTATATATATATATATATATATAGAGAGAGAGAGAGAGAGAGAGAGAGTCGGAGGGAGACAGTCCCACAAAATGTTAAGGTTGCCAAGTTTACATTAGACAGTTCACAATAAGCAAACAGCAATCCTGTCAGAAACACTGCATTCACAAAGACCAAGGCATCCCTTCAGGTAGGTAATCTGGGTTCTGCACTGAAGGGACAGAATCAAGATTCAAGACTTGAGAAACTATAACTGGCCACATTCATTTTCCATTTCCACATTTTTCTGAAAGAGACTAAGACTAGCTTTGAGTACTGCAGTCAAGGAACAGTGCCAACCTGCTTCTATACCATGCCCATTCCTACCTGCTGTCTGTCCCCTGCTTACCATACACACATGGGACCTCAGGTGGCTATTTAAAGAGGTTTGCACAGCAGATTTGATTAGCATACATCTCAAAATAACTTCTCTGTGAGTCTGTTTTAAACTTGCTCTAGCCCAAACATGGGCAGTCCCATCATATTCTCAACTTGCCTCACACAGATGGGCATCCTGGAATGTAGACTTATATTCCACTACACAAATTAACTTTTCATTTAGTAAATTACCAAATCAAGCTTTGATTATAATAAACCTATGCCTAATGATAAACCAGGAAAAAACCCCACAACCTTAAAGTAAGCTTCATAAAAGCAAACCAAAATAAAAATAGTGGTAACCTTAAAAATTTAGGAATATATATATATATATATATTTATATTTAGAAGGGAGAAATCAACCTCAAATGTATGTGTTGAATTTTTCAATGTTTACACTACAGACACTATCCTAAATGCCCAAATTGGTTTGGCATCAAGATTAAGGAATTTAGAAGCAGAATTAGGTATGAATATCTCTGTCATATCCTAATACATGTACTTAAAGGTGGGTTTTATTATTTTTTGTAATACATACTTATACCAATTTAAAATGAACATTCATAGGTATTTCTGACTCTATAAAAATCCCATTTTTTAAAACATAGTTGGAAAAATAATCTTCCCCACCCACTCCAAATGACCAGGAAGCAAGCAGTAGGCTTCCTCAGGAGTCTGTCCCAGTTTCTAGGGATCTGCCTTCTCTTCTGTGAACTAGCTCAGTTTCCAGAGTCTTGCTGGGAATAAACACTATTATTTCACAGTGATTAAGTTTTCAGCCTACCCACAACCTACAAATATAATTTGAAACAAATTTACCTTTCCATCATTAAAAGAAAACATTGTTGCTTTCATTTAAAGGCTAAATCTATTACCCTGCTTGGATATGCTGCACTCTTCTGGGCATAGAATTTCATAGCAAGTATCAAAATAATCAAGCCATGAAGTCGGATTCATCAAGCCATAAACTCTTATTAACCAGAACTTTTGAATGTGTGCCTGGCTCATTTTGCAAAAAAACCAATTCACAACTAATGACGGCTAATATTAATAATTAATACTTTAACGAAAACTGCTGTAGGATTTCTGACTTGGTTTTCTATTTTTTCATACAGCCCAACACCTGGAAACAACTGTACTGTGGGCACTCTCCTGGAAAGTGCCATGTGTTTTCCTCTGAACTAAGCCAACAAGTAAAGGGCAAACCGAACTCCCTTTTCCGGAGAAGGTTGGTGGTGAACAACGCTGCTACCAAAGTGAGTGGGAAGTCGGTCAAATTTTCCTCTCTGGTAACTGCTTCTTGCTGGAGCAACAGGGGATTCATAACAGAGTTCGCAAAAAATGTTCTCTTGTCCCTTCACCTGGGAGCAGGGGGTTCCCAACCAAGCCAAAATATAGATCTATGCAATATCAGCAGGGCATTCCAAGCGATGTCATGGGAGGTGGAGCCAGTCTCCATGACATTCCATGAGACTGAATACTGCAAGGCTGTCCTGAAAACAATCTCTATTGGACCAAGTCTGCTTCGCTGGGAGTTGTCGCATCCAAGACTTAATTTCAACAGGGTTCAATTTATTGCTTGGAGCTCTGGCAGCATAAAACTGTCTTCTTTGAATGGAAAATTTGACCAACTGCGATGAGGTAAATGAATTTCGAAAGTGGGGGAGTGTGGGGGTGGCATACAACTTTTTTTTTGGAAGGGGATGAGGGTGCATACTTAAAGCCCCAAGCAATCCCAGCCTCGGTGGATTCTTGTGTTAGTGAGGCAGAGAAGAGCTCAAAAGCTCTGCGGGGAGCCTAGGGACTTTGGGTTTGAGAGTTACTGGGCGCCAGGGGAATCCCTGCCTTGGGTAACAAGAGGCGATTGAAAGAGAAAAGACGCGCTTCAAAACCACCCATTGCCCCGCAGTCCCCCGTGTTCTCCTCGGAATCGCCAACTGGCGAGTCCAGGAGCATGCAGGCGCTACCGCGTTAGTCGCGGTCGCTCGAGAATCCACCACCTTTGGGGATCCGGGTCGAGTGGGCTTGGGGCGGTGTAAGCTCGTACCAGCTCCGGCTCTGCTTCTCAGGATAGATCTGACTCGGCTCCGGCTCCGGGGCGCAGCTCCGACCCTACCGCGCCCTGGGGAGCTGCGACCTCTCCGCCTCTGCCGGGTCCCCGCGAGGCTGCGCTTCCCGTAAACTCCCCGCCCTGCGCGGCCCCCTCCCCGCCTCGGCTCCACCCCCGCGGGACCCTGGGAGGCGTGAGATTGGCCCGGACGCGCTGTCACTCTCCGGACGCGTCACCGCCCTCGTTTCCGACCGCCCGGAGACCGGCAGTGCTATTAGTGCACGGCGGGGCCGAGGCGGAGGGCAGCACCGTGCCCGGTTCGCTCGCACTCGCCGGCAGGTCGGCGCGCTCGCTCACCTGAGCCGTGTCCCGGGGGCCGGAGGGTCGCCGGGCTGCATGCGCCCTCCTCCGCCAGCCGGGACACTCACGGAGATGGGCAGCAGCAGGAGAAGTTGACGAGCTCCCCCCACGCACGCGGTGCCCTTGCTGCCCAGAGGTGCGCCGCCCCTGCCACCAAGGTGTCCACCGCGGCCCTGCCCCAGATGTGCAGCGGGACACCCTGCCTCGGAGACTGGAAAACTTCACCCCAAGTCCAAAGTGGGCTCCGAGGGCGGTGTCCGCGGCTGGACCGCGGGGCTGCCTGCCGGGGAACTGTCCTGCGGCTACCGGGGCGAGGGGAGGGCGGGGACCCGCTGGAAACTTTCTCACCATCTTCCTAACCACTGCGTTTTACTGTCCCCTCTCCCCACAGGGGCTGCAGCCAGCGGTCTGCCTCGCGTGCCTGTTTGCCAAAGGAGCCGCCCCGGCGAGGAGAGCCGGAGGGGAGCCGCTTCCAGGGGGGAGACCCGCAGCTCAGACACGCGCTCTGGGCGGCCTGGATGCGCAAGAGCCGGCCCCGCAGCCGCTGACCGCCGGCGGCAGCGAAGTTTGGCTGCTGAGCGGCTCGGCGCCCGGCCCCTGGACAGACTGCCAACCGGAGGCTGCAACGACCGGAGCGATGCCCGTGGGGGGCCTGTTGCCGCTCTTCAGTAGCCCCGGGGGCGGCGGCCTGGGCGGCAGCCTGGGCGGGGGGCTTAGTGGCAGTAGAAAGGGGTCTGGCCCCGTCGCCTTCCGCCTCACCGAGAAGTTCGTGCTGCTGCTGGTGTTCAGCGCCTTCATCACGCTCTGCTTCGGGGCAATCTTCTTCCTGCCTGACTCCTCCAAGCTGCTCAGCGGGGTCCTGTTCCACTCCAACCCCGCCTTGCAGCCGGCGGCAGAGCACAAGCCCGGGCCCGGGGCGCGCTCCGAGGATGCCGCGGAGGGGCGAGTCCGGCACCGCGAGGAAGGCGTGCCCGGCGACCCCGGTGCTGTCGTGGAGGACAACTTAGCCAGGATCCGTGAAAACCACGAGCGGGCTCTCAGGGAAGCCAAGGAGACCCTGCAGAAGCTGCCCGAGGAAATCCAAAGAGACATTCTGCTGGAGAAGGAGAAGGTGGCTCAGGACCATCTGCGTGACAAGGAGCTGTTTGGGGGCCTGCCCCAGGTAGACTTCCTGCCTCCCATCGGGGTAGAGAACCGAGAGCCAGCTGATGCCACCATCCGCGAGAAGAGAGCAAAGATCAAAGAGGTGAGTAAACCCTGCCAGAAATCCAGTCACACTGCTGTGTTTTTCAGGGAGGTATGATAAACGGTTGGAACTTAGGGCTTCAACGTTGTCATGCAGAGAGGCAAGCGAGGTCTGCGCTTCCACAGTTTGCCAAAGGGTGCACGTTTACCTTTTACTACCTTAGGAGATGTGGCCAGTTAGGATGTGAGGCAGAATCGGGTTAAAGTTATGTACTGTGTTGAGCTTAAGCTATGAAGAGGCAGGTGTGAGTGAACACACAGGTGATACACTGCCTCCTTGCTGGCTGCAGTTAGTCCAACCTGAGAGCAGTCACTGGGCTGGTCTTGAACAGCCCCCCCCCCCCACGAAGGCTTGCAGGTGGTTTTAAATTGAAGCTGACTATAAACACAGGGCATCGATCACGCGTGATACAAAGGTTATAGCAGTGAGCCAATGCGCCCAGTGTTCGGTCACGTGGCCTTCGCTTGGCCAGGTGGCATTCTGTGTGTAAGTAACAGGCTATAAACATGAAACCTGAGACTTCCTGTCATGGGTCACTTACTATCTATTACTGATTGAAGATAGGAGAACACACACACACACAGAGAGAGACAGAGACAGAGACAGAGAGAGACACAGACAGAGAGACACAGACAGAGAGAGACAGAGAGAGATCTACTGCTTCTTGTCTTACTAGCACATTTTCAGGAAAGGGATATTCTCTATGATGCAACAGGTCCACCTCCACAGTAGCTCAGTAACAAACTCAATCTAGACCAAACATGGACTTTGGTAAGTCCTGTGTAATTTCTTTCTGGTTGTTTTCACTTTAGCCTGTGATTGGTTTCTCACAAGCTTCAAGGTGAAGGAATCCTAGGAAATCCTTTCAGGCTGTCATTTCAAAGGCAAAAGCTGAGGACTTACAGCTCAAGAAGCAGTTAGTTCCCCGTTGAGACCTGAATGAGGAAGCAGAAGCTTCCCACTCACCAGGTTCTGGGGACATGTCCCCTTCCAGCTGCTTCCCTGTGTTTTCCAGGGAATCCAGACCTGCTGAACTGTGGTGAAAGCATGACATCCCAACTTTGGCTAATCCTCTAAAATGTATCATAAAAGTATGTAATATTTCTGAGGCTTTTGTTTTGATGTCAGTTATGTTGTCAGGAAAGGGTCATGATAGCGTTTTCAGGGAGTGAACATTATTTGGAGGCTGTAACGAAATTTAAAGGGACTGCAGAATGGGGGCAGGTTGATTGTCATAAGATGTGCCTAAGACCAGATGAAACTGGGTAAGTTGTCATTGAGCAAGTTCAAGTGGACTTGGGTCCCTTTTATATTTCTCTGGGAATAGTGTCTCTTAGCCCTCCAAGCCCATGACTTTGTTTGATCATCCTTCTGGCTACCTGCTTTGCAGTGAATCCTCCTCGAGCATGGTGGGGGAATAGGTTCTGTTTTCCTGAGTAACTTCCCCAACAGTTTCCCCAGGAACTGTCCTTCCTGGAGAATGAGACACACTTCTGACTCTTCCTAAACATCTTCCCACCCTTACCTCTTAGGTTCCTTAACTAATACAGACCCTTAGAAAATGGACCCACTAATGATCAGTGTCTGCTGCTGCTGATGTTTGAAGAGAATAATTTACTCATGACGTGCTTCTCAATTCCTGAGTGGCCAGTTAATGCAGGCCGTAGTCGTAGGAAGCAGAGATTTTAAACACTAAAGTATTAAAAAGCTGGTCACTAATGACTGAAAGGGGGTTCAGAATAGACACAGTGCCTGGTAGCCTGAGGGCAGCATTTTAGCAGTATGGATATCCATTGACTATTAGACCCTTCTTAACTGTGTCTCTAAGTCAAAGGAACTTAATTTACCGTGTCAAGGAAATTTGTATACCCTCTGTCATGTGGTGCCAACATCTTAGAACCTAGCTCAAACCGCCCAGTTTTATCTAAAGTGTCAGAATTAAACATGTTCTTTAAAATCCCAAACTGTTATGAAAACCCCAAGTAGTCAGCATGATTTGCTTCAATATTTAGTCAAAGACCAACAGGGTGAGGGGAGAAATGAATTATGATTTTTCCATTAGAATAGTTCAAGGAGACATAGTCCTTTGTAAACTCAAACCAATACTTCATGCTATTCTCTTTATTATTATTAGTCTTGGACGGCTTCATGCATGTATGTAATTATTTTTAGTATCCTACCCCCACATCCTTACCTTCAACTCAAGCTATTCTAAAGGACCCAATGCTTGGTCATGGAGAGGAAAAGTGGTTGTCAGTTGAGGAGGGCTCATTAGGCTTTAATTTTATACATTCAGGTTCTGTTTCCTGCACTATAGGTTACTTGCTGTCGCCTGGTAGCCCTTTGCCATGGTTCTGTTCTTGTCTCTGTATGTTTTAGTTGTCTTTAGACTTAAGTTCCTTATTGTACTTGCATGCACTAAAACTTTTACAGTCAAAACTTAGAAGCTATAGGATTGAATTTTAGTCAAGCTTTTATTTTGTAAGTTTGGTTGCACGGCAGTTCCCACTGCTTTTATATCGATGACGTAATTGTGTTGTTGGTACCACATTGGATTTTTAATAAGTTTGGAGGGAGGTAGGCTGTTAATTTGAAACAGGACATTGCCTTGACAAAAAGGTATTGAATGAATTCTAATTCAAATAATGATGGATTTGATGTAGACTTCCCTCTTCCCACCCATGGGAAAACCTTTTAAAAACATTTATCCTGAATTTCCCTGGCTTCTGATACATGCCAAATGTATATTTATTGTCATGAATTTGACCTCCATAAAATTTTACTCAAGTTATCCTGTACTTTAAAAAGTGTTAAAAGTTAAATCGTTTCATGGAATTATCAGGAATGTGCTCTATTTCCCTTTCTACTGCACGTTTTTATTTTAATTAACAAGGTTTTTAAAGATTTTGGGGGGGTGGGGTACAGAACAGTGAGCCTACCCTGTCCCTTAGGGTGAAGCCCTAATCTGCTTTGAACAATGAACATTTTATTTTTCATTTTCTGGAGTTAGGGTGCATTCTGAGTGATAGAAGAAGACAAAGTACCCCTTCTCAGACTGGAGTCCCCCACAGCGTAAGAAGGGCATGGAGTTCTGCCGGCTGATAGTCTGTCAGATGGTGCTCTAAGACCTGTCCACTACAGTCACAGCTGTCTTCTCCGGTTCTCAGGAGAAGGCTATTTCACTCTAGACCTGTGTGTATACTCAAACATATAGAGAAAGATGTGTGTTGGTGACCAGTGATGGAAACACATGTTATTACATCTTACACTAGCACATATGGTGCGCGCACGTGCGAGCGTGCATGTATGTGCCTGCATGTACTTGAGCACTGTTTACAGCTTATGTTAAATATTAACTGTTTGCCCTTTGGCTCAAGATCAGATGTGAGAATAAGTTACCTTGACAAACTGAAACAAAAAGACTTTTATTATGAAACTTAACCTTCCAGGGGACTTTTATGAGTTTTAATATGGAAAAGCACATTTACAAGGAGACTATCCTTTGAAGTCTTAGCCTAAA